AAAAAAAGTCCACCCATTTCTTGTTGCCCTATCCGGCGGCAAGGAAACGCGATCGCACGCGATATGCCTGATAGGCGGCGAGAACACTGGTGAGAGCTACAATTTCAGCTCCACCCAGGAGGGAAACGCGGCTTCGACCGAAGTGTTGCACGTCAGTGCCCACTCTCGCGCTCGACTACCGAGCTTTGAGATGGCTAGCGCTACGCGCTGTTGCTCGGTCTGGAGCATGGCGGATGCGATGGCCATCTCGACCTCTCTTACCCAGAGCAGGAAATTCTCTCCATCCTTCCCCTCAAAGACCTTAACGCTCACCATGAGCGGCTTAGGGCGGAGAAAGTCATCTGTTACTGGCGGTGGTATCATAGGCGCAAATGAAGCAGACATCTTCTGATGCAGGTGCTCTAGCAGCGCGTTTTCGTAACTTGAAAACGCCTCCAGACGCGCACCGATTGCCTCGGGGCCGTGTGCAGCAAGGTGTTGCACGCCCTCAGGACGAAGCAAGGACATCAGCTTGTTAAGCCCGTCCTGATGCCCTGGGGTAAAGAGGAAAATCCCTCCATCCTAACAGAGAATCAGTCTAAACGACTCAGGTGTAGATAGACTACAAGTGCTACCAAGTGCAGCGGGGCTGCCGTAGCTTAGCGCCTAGGAAGCGTAATTTAGGTCACCGGCCTTTCGTTCCTTACAAGAACCAATACGAGTGTAGCGGATCGCAACCCGCTAGCTCCAAGAGAAGTTACCACCTTAATCAAAGCTTATAAACTCTTCGGTTTAAATTCGAAACTGATTTTTATTATTTATATCTGCGGCTAAACCGCCTGATTTTAAATGTATAGATTTTACAAAATATATATAGTAGAATCTAATACATGCATAACTACTGGACATACCATATTCTAGTTTGGGTGCTGTCACACCATGCACATCTCGTGTGACACACACTCCTGTTACTGGGGTACGTGTAACTCCGTTACACTACATGCATTCTTTATAATGTGGCTTTTCGCATCTGCATCCCTGTGCGCAGCACGAGCGAAACACTGAAACTCAGTGTACCCAAGTTTTATCATCAGATTCATAATTTTAAATTCTGCAGATGTAGGCTCCATA